AGAGGGATCGCTATGCGAATTCATCGCTGTACGGGGCGCTCGTTAAGCGAGGCACCACTGTACAAAGAAGTAAATATAACATTTAAAAACATAGTCTATAAACAAAAACAATGGTGCAACCAATTTTCAAAGAGAGGAAAGAATGGAGGCGAGGAATTCAACTGGGGTCGACGTGAAAAGCCTTCCCTAAATAGTAATGTTTTCAACTGCCTCCTAAATGAAAACAGGAAGTGGGGGGCAGGCGTAGGTCCTCTGGGAGTTGATTCCATAACGTAAAATAGACACAAATTGCTGTAAGTTAAGAAATCTCTGTAGACATTACCTTTTACATGCTAAATCATGCAACTAAGTATGCAACAGATAATCTCTACTGATAATTTTTAATTTACAGTAATTTAAATCTTAAATCGTGCAACAGGATTTCAGTCTTTGTATTGCTTCCAAAATTGTTGCTGGAATTAACAAAAAAAAATCCTGCCATAAAATGCAGTCCTCCCAGATGGTGAATATTTGGGAGAATGTACCTATTGAAAAAACAGGAAGCAGTAAGCATTATTTATTTGTTATTAATCATAAATGTCCCCAAACTGCAGACAAACTCTGGAAAGTAAAAAAGGCATTGCGTCTGAGGCCATAAATCCATCTAGTCCAGGACTTTCCATTAGCTAGATAAAGCAACTAATTTGCACACATTAAAGCCAGCTAGACAGAAGGTAGGTCAAGTTCTCTAGGCATAGGTTTCAGGTGTTTTGTGCGGGATTCTGACTCCATAGCAAGAAAAATAGGTTTTTCCTTTTCCATGGGCTAGTGAAATTAAGGAAGTTTGATAATAAAGAGTACTTTTTGTGTGTAAAAAGGCAATAAATTCTTAAAAATAAATCATAGGCCCATTTTTTTGTAATTCTGTTAATCAAGCCACTATTTTGCATCTGATTTCACCTGTTGGATTTTCGGGTTCCAGTAAAAACAAAGTAGGTTTCGGAAGGCTAGGGTCGGTCCAACTTTGGTTTAAGATTCCCATGTTCTTAAAAATCTGGCTTAAAAATCTAAGGTAGCAAGGTAAGAAGAAAAGTGCTTGGCAATCAATCAGAATAGACATTACTGGGCTAAATGGACAAATACTTTAAATCTATGTATAAGGCACTTTCAAATGTTCTTACCGAGATTATACCTGAGTGTCTGAAATAGTCTTAAGATTCTGTACACTAGACAGAATATCCTACAAGGAGGGTAATTCTGCATTTCATTTCATGTTAAGTCTAAAGAAACTGGACGGATCTAATAATGTGATTCTTATGTTTGTCCCAGTTAAGAGGCACAAAGTAGGATACATCACTCCCCACTTAAGCCAGTAAGTTTCAGTTTTTAAAGATGACTGTATAATAGCTTTTTTACCTTTTCATTCCAGTGTACTCCTTCAATATACTGACATCGTCCTCTGAAAAAAAAGATGGCACTTCTGACCAGCTGGATACCAAAAACTATGATGTTCTCTGGAGTTCTTCTCCGAAGTTGAAAGTGATTCTAGAGACTCATCTAAACTGACAAACTAGGAATAACTAGTTCCACTTATGTTCAATGAAAACGGAACCCAAATGCACATCTCTGAATTAAGTAGCAGTGTGGGAAATCACCATTTGTTGGCACAGCTGAATTAAGTATACAGATGGTATATCTCCCACAAGCTTGCTGACAAATAAAAAGTGCCTTGATACTACTAGAAAATTAAAACCACTGCTTCAAATGAAATATATCTTGTAAAATTAGATAATGTTTAAGCAAGATTAACTAAAGTAACTCTATTAAAAGTCGGCACACTGACTGTTTAGATATGATGAACCAAGGCTTACCATTATAGAATGAACCTGGCTTCCTCCCAGGCATGTGCTATATTCTGTGTACATCTGTCATGAAACTGGAAATGCTATCTTCTGTTTTACCTTAACAACTAACCATAATAATTGTGTGCCATCAACTTAATTTTGACTTATGGCAACCTTTTTCAAGATAGAGAGTACTCAGAATTGGTTTACCAGTCCCTTCTTCTAGGGGCATTCTAGGACTGTGCAACTTTCCCAAGGCTGTATAGGCTGGCTCTTCTGGGATGTACAGTGGAGAATTGAAATCCCAATCTCTGGTTCCACAGTCTGATACCTAAAGCAAAAAAAGATTAACCACAGTTTGTTGCACTAAGATGAGAAGTCAACCTGTGGTTAATCACATCCTGAAGTGGAAAATTCTGGTCTTTTATGCACACCCTGGAAAAGGAATCATGTCAGCCCAGTATATAGGGGAGCCTGTCAACCCAATGAACTGTCATATAAAAAGATAGTTTACGACTACTGGTTAACAGGAATTTTGAATGATTTATGGAAACAAGAACTATTTCCAAAAACATCTGCTACGGTCCTTAGAAAGGCTGTTTTTCTGTTATCTTGCCAAATCTCATTCTTTTATCCACAAATCTACAAATGCAGACTGTCTTGACTGCTAAAAAATCTGTACCACTGGCTGAGGCTGATAACTTGCCCCACAACAGTTTTCATCTGTGAAAGAAAGTAAGGTAAAAATAAAACAAAGGTTAAATGATGAGGAAAGAGGAAGTTTATTGGAGAATATTTTATCAATAACAGTCAAGAGACAATATTTAGGGCCATGTGGTTTCATAGTAATGCCACTAAGATCTTATGTAAAGGTCACATTTTCCTGTTCTCCAGATTGTTCTTGTCAGTGATCTTTTATCACTCTCCACCTTCAATCTGGCCTGTATCTGAAACTGAACAGCTTCAGATACAGGCCAGATTGAAGCTTTATACAGCTTTAAAAATGTGTATCATATTGATCCTCAAGTGAAAGACTATAGAACTATTATTCCTATTGCCAAGGCGGCCCACATGGGTACCTGTGATTGCCAGTAGGCATAGGGACAAATTTTTAAAAATGAATTGTGATGTACGTCAGAAATTGCTGATTCATCACATATTTGCTGATTCATATTAGTCATTTCTGGAGATCCCAATGACTATGAAGTGACAATTATTTGCCAATTAATCAACCCCCTTTTTGGGCCTCCTGTGCCAACTACAGCCTGCTGCTACCAATCAGAAGCTCTGGACAACCCTGGGAGGGACCTAGAGGCTCCTGGATTGGCAGCCATTCCCTGCAGCCATTTTGCACTCCTGCTCAGAGTCTTGGCTCAGGCAGTTGCTGCTGTGCTGTTGTGTCTTGCTGAGTTCAGCTTTGTGGCAGCAAACAGTTTTCTATTTTCTATTTAATTCATTTATGTTATTATTATTATTTGAAATACTGGGAATGTGGAGAGGGGTTTATTTAGCTGTCGGTACATTTGACACAACTATGGGAGGCAGTGGAAGACAGGAGGGCCTGGCGTGCTGTGGTC